GTGTCCGGTTGGGGGGCGGGGCTTTTCAAGTGAACTACAGTTCTATTATACAACACCGGAAACGTTTCATTCAGGTATTGTTTTTTTCTTCTTCAGAAGTAATTTGTGTCAAAAGCACGTTTAAAAAACACTTTGTTTATTTGTTTAAAAAAAACACGTAAAAGCAAAAATAAACTAATACAAAACGAGCACAATAAACTAAATCTGTAACTTGTAAAAAAATGCGACTTGATTTGACGAAAGTATATGTACAATTTATCTGAGTTATGTATTTATTTAAAACACACATATTAACAAAAATATAATACAGGATAGTGTGTACGTTAATGAAAAGATTCCATAAGAAAAATGTCTATAGAGTATTTTCTTCTGTTTTGGAGAAAGTAACAAAAGTCATAAACGAAGTCAAAAGTTTCAACAAGCCCTGATAAGCATTTAAATTTCGGTTTAAAAATAATGCAATATAAAGCACATATTCCTGTTTTGGTTAAGTTTATTGCTTTATGATATGAAGTGTACAGGTTGTGCATTAATAATTTACTAAAAACCTTCCTATGAACAAATGAGCTTTGGTTTATAAGTTTTCACATTAGTACTGACAATAATATTTGCTCAGTTTTAACACATACATAGTTTCCTTCTGTCTGACTGCTTTTTTAATATTAAAATGTAATTGTTATAAAACAGTTGGAGTTAATCAAACCATAGTGGTAATGGTCCCCCTAACAAAGTATGAATTTAAACATTAAAAGATTATTCAGAACTATATGAAATCGTGCAGTTTGAAAGTTTAAGGCAGGTATTTTCCAGATATAATAATAAGGAATTGTGAAAACTGGAAAACACTCAGCTGAAAACCATGTGGACACAGGGTCACATGACCGACATCAGTCTGGTCATAGTCTGTGTAGATAAACAAATATGGCTGATAAGTTTTAAGATAATGTTCTGTTTTTCTGCTGCAAAGAAATACGTGGTAGGCCACATTCGGTCACAAATTTTTATCTCACAGACTTTAAATTTAAGGATAATAACCATTCTGCAATCTTTTTATTATCATGTCCTGCTGTTTTACTGAGTTTTAATTCAGTTAAATTAGTTGTATTTATGTTTCAGAAAGATGTCCCAACAAGTCAGACTGAGGCTGCTGCCGAGCTTCAGGTGTTTGTTCGATGAGCCCGTTCAGCTGAAGGTGTCCGGGCTGAGGTCCAGGCAGGTGGTCTCCATGAGAGCCAGGTCCACTGATGAGAGAGAAGTGGAGTTCAGCTCCTCTGCCACCTACAGAGCTGATGGTAACGGGGAGATAGACCTGGACAAAGACCCCTCACTCAGTGGGAGCTATGTTGGAGTTGAACCCATGGGTCTGCTGAGGTCCCTCAAGCCAGACACCCCTCACAAATACTTTTATAAAAACAAAGCATTAGAGCCTTTCCTGGTGAACTTCTCTGTTCACGAGGAGGAGGGCAGGATGCTGACAGAGGAGACCAACGAGAGGTTTCTGATGGCGGACGGGGTCAGCAGAGTTCCTGTTGAAGAGGGGAATATTCATGGAGTCCTGTTTACTCCCCCAGGTTGGTGCATGATCATGAGTTATCTGCAGGACTGTTGTGGTTAGCAATGTGTGTACAACTGGGAGTTCTCAGTTAAAAATACTGTCTGCATGCTGTAGCCACCAGGGGTGTACGACACTTTTCACTCAAAGGTGATTTATAAAACCCAAACTTGATGTGAAAATGTGCAGTTCCTTATGCCAGCTCTGACCCATACACTCAATTTGGAGACGGGAAGCTGGCGACACAAATGGTGAAGTGAGAAAATATAATCACTAATGATCACTTTCACATACAGCGGGTAAAATAAGTATTGAACACGTCACCATTTTTCTCAGTAAATATATTACTAGAGG